ACTGTATTCCGTTCACCGATGCAACAGTCTATTCTTGTCTATAAAATAAAAAAAAAAACACAGATAATTTGGTAAAAATATTTTACTACCAAGTTCTCTCTTGTCTGAGTACCTAAGTTAAAAATAATCTTATAAGAACAAATTTTTTATCATTACACTATTTACTTGTGTTCTACTTAATATTTAAAAAATTGACCTAAATAGTGTTTACTCGTTTAAATGTGAGATGTAGCATAAAATAATAATTAGTGATCTTAGGAACGCCTGCCATTGCATTGAATACACGAAGTTGCTCGTCAACAAAATTCTGCTCGTGTTTGAATACTTACTGCATATAATGTGCCTTTAGTGTACTTAGAACTTGCAATTTGAAAGCAGTTTCTGTGTAGTTTGAAGCAAACGATTGCACATAGAGTGAACTACTATTAACTCATTTGCAACAAACGTCACAAAAAGGATACGGCTTCTTTTGGAAGCCTCTCGAAAAGGTAATTTGGAATACTTAATTCTTATATTGACAGTATATTTTACTTCGCAAAAAAGTGTCTTCAATCAAGAATGCACTGCTAAACGATGTGAGATTTATATATGTAAATATTATGGATTGACATATAGTTATGCTTTCTGTAAGTTTTTTACTAACTTTACAGCTTCAATCGAAACAGAATTTAAATAAGACTAACACTGGAATAAACCTTATAGATTGCAAAAAGAATTGTAGAAATCGGTTCAAAATTACGTAATACAATCACAAAAAAAATCTGACTAATTAAAACCATTTTGGAAGTCGTTTAAGAAAAGAGAATTCCTTTTTAAATAACCAGCCGCACACCTGCAATTCCTTTGTTGTTGCAGGTTTCAGACAATAGTCACTTACCATCAGGTGAACAGTATGCTCATTTAACCCTTGTGTTATGAAACAAATCTGCTAGGTGTTCGTTATTAATAATAGATACTATGATACTAAACTTTGCACACGGTAACTTGTATGTAACACTAATGTCATGGAAATGGAGTCATATCATGAGGAAAATATGTACATCATTTGAGAACTTGAATGTATTTCGCGAAATTTCCTTAAGCCGCCCCATTAGCAAAATGTCTTATATTTGATCCAACGGATGTGAAGTTGTTCGAATGAATTTTTTATGCAATTCAATTTAACACATGTGATATTATGATATTGAGATAATGGTGCTATCTATCTTCTCGGCTAACAGGATGGGTAGAGAAAACTGAGTGTCAAAGGTTTATCTATCCTATTATTTTTTCTATTTTAAATCAACTTTCTTATATTTACGGAATTTTCTAATCATAAACTGTAAATGTATATATTTAAATAAAAGAAAAATATTCTAACTTAGAATTTTTATTGATATGACAATTTAATGATACAAAATTTTATAAATATTATTGAAATTTTACTTCATTAATTAACTCTTTAATTTTCCGTGATTAAAAGAATCTAAAATGTTGAGCGGAGATGTAAGGTACCATCATGCAACATTTCATTTACATCGGTTCAACAGTTTTGGAGATTAGTCCGTACTAACAGACAAACTCAGAAAATAAAAAGTTTGAAAAAATCTGGATGTGTTCTTATTCACTTCTAACGTCCCCCCGACTTAGGTTTTAACGTTTTTTTTTTTTTATGTACCGTTATTCGAGCTGAACAATTTTATAATATGTATAAACGTGCGCGTTTAAATTAAATAAGACCGCCTTACTGTAATTATACATTTGTATCGTTATATTTATTAATTGTCTTGCTTATTCTCTATATTGTATAATGCAAGTAAAATATACTCATTCCTTTATTAAAATAACGAGACGCCGAACGTTCCTGTTTCGTAGTATCACATGCATACGTCGGTGTAAACATATCTACCGATACATTCATACATTTGTATAGGAAAGCTCACACAAGCATTAAAACTGAGTACAATTTATTTATTAATATTATTTTCAAAATCTCCAAAACATATTACAAATGTATACAAGACGACAACCTTGAATACATCAATCAAATTAACTCAGCAAGGTTCTATTTTACAAATTAAAAGAAAATATTTGTTTGTATATTTCGCGAATTGACCTAGATGTATCAGTTAAATAAAAGAGCGAGTATTAAACACGGATTTTATATTCAAGAAACCAAATTTGTATTTTAAGTCATGGAAATATTTTCAAGAAAAATGTTTCACCTGCGCCCGCCCACTATACATGAAAATCCTATTTGAGTTGTGTCATTCCCAAGTTAGATTTTATGACACATTTGCATGCAAATTCAAACTCACACTTTGTAGTAGGTGCTGCTTCTTGATGTGCCTCTCCGTTAATGAAGGTCTAGTCCTACAAGTAGTTTCAGTTAACTATAGATGGATAACTTTATTATTAACTACAACAAGTTATTTTAAAAGTAATAATAATAAATACAATTAAATTACAATAACTGGAACAATTATTTTCCTCCGACACTAAGCTATCTAACATAACCATTATTCCATTAGGCATTTCCAAATTCATTCTCTGATGTTATAATACGGATAAGGTAGTTTAACCGGGTATAATTTATAGTTTTACCGGGAAAAAGGTAGTTTAAAAACGACAGGTACATATGTACCTGTCGTTTTTAAACTACCTTATTCCCTGTATCTCATAAATTAGTCATACCGGTCTTTTACAAAAGACAGTTTATTATCTTGAATATATCTTAGAAGTTATGAAATGTTTGTATTTTTAATAAGTATGTGTTATATAGAATAATATTTTTTATATTCTATATTCTTCTTTTCGCCTTCAAATAAAGTTGGTTATTTAAAGACGAAGAGATATTTCTACAACAAGCAATTATTTTGCAACCGCCCGCGACAAACAAAAACAACTTATTTACCAACAGAGACTTAAAAGGTTTATTTTTTGCTAGCACAAACTTGCGCTCGGAAATATCAAAAGGCGATTTGAGTGCGGTAAATTTTTAAACCGGCTAAATATCTGCATTGGATTAAAACAAGACGGCGCTCACATTAAAATTAATGCAAAACTGAAGAAATGATTAATGTGCTTCAAGTGCCCTTGGAAACGAAACTTGAAAAATTGCCCCAGATTTTTCTTTATGTTTTAGCGGAAAGGATTTTATGGAAACGTAGAGTTGGCAGCACCTGTGGCCTGTAGGCCAAATGTCGTCGCGCCCTCTGCTCATCCATTCTAATTTATTCACGAGTTAGGAGTCGGGACGCCATCGCTTCGCCGCTCGCTCGACAGTCTTCCACATCTGCGCAATTTTCGTCTCAATCATCTTAAAAGATATTTTACAATATTTTCTATATAGTTTCTACGTAATATGCAAATTTTCGTATACAGCACTAACTTTATGAAATTAATGCAGGTATTTAAGATTCGAGAATTATTGTGAAGTATTCAAAATCGACAAATTCCTTTTTACATAAAGGACCTCGCTCGACCAAACCCGCATCAAATTAAACCTTCCGCGACCCTTGAATCCAATTTAACTCTTCCACAGATAGCTGCACGCATTCGCGGAGGGCTGTATATTAATAATTTATGCCCACATAAATTACAAAAACATTTTGCTTCCCTTTACACAATAAACATTAATAAATTCTATGTAGGTACAAGTACTTGTTATATATCCTGTTCAATTATCAAGCTGACATGTACTCGTATTTATAATAATAAAAATATTCACAATGGCGTCGACATTCGGAGAACAATCATCTATCCATCCGTTCACACGATCATTACCGTTAAAGCAATTCAGTTGAAATTAATATAAATATATATATATATATATATATATATATATATATATATATATATATATATATATATATATATATATATATATATATATACGGTAAACGTTGTTTTACCATATACATTATTTCTAAAACTATACATGAAAATATATCGTACTACAATTATTATATTTACCTGTCATCTTGCAACCCTATTGCCGCATATAAAAATTACGATTAAACAACAGGGGTTAATCGTAATAGCGTGAAAATTTTAATTTGTATATATATTTCAATGCTAAATCATAATAAATTAAAAATAAAACAAATTATCAAAAAAATAAAAAAGATATATTTAGGGGTATCCACCCTTTTCATTGAGGGGTATGAAAAATAGATGTTAGCCGATTCTCAGACCTACCCGATATACACAGAATTTCATAAAAATCGGTAAGGGCGTTTCGGAGTGACAAACACCGCGACAAGAGAATTTTATATATTAGATGTTATTTGCCTTGTAGCTCCGGCCACCCTTTTTTTCACGTGGGTGTTATAAGAAGCGACTAATGGAACTTAATGGTCGAGGAATGGGCAGCAGCGTTCCTTTTAAAATATCACCAAAGCCTAACTACGGTTGTTGACTCGTCTGCCAGACATGGCAACTACTAGCAAAACTCTCCTAATGGAAAAGGCTTATGTTCAGCAGTTAACTGCTGATATAATAATAATAAATATTATATAGATATGTATGTTAATTTATGTCAATAACGTATAATGGATTTAAACGGAGCGCATTTTACAATTTTACATAAACACAAGTTTGTTAACGGTGGAATAGATGTAAAACAGTTTTTAAAAAGCAATAGCATCTTCTCTGTTTACTACCTTTTAGTTTTATGATCTTAGTACATCAAATGTAGTTACTACAAGTTGCTGTCAATGTATAAGCTAAGGTTGAGCGCCTGTTTTAGATTCGATACAATTGTAACAGCTAACAAAGCATACACATGATTTCCCACACTTAGGAGCAAATCATGACTATTAGTGAATTCCATTGAAAAAATTGAATCACGCCGAGTGCAAGACACCATATGGCATATGTAACCATCGACCATGTCCAAAGACTTAAATGGGCACGTTGTCGTCACAGTTGGAATGCCACTGAGTACCGTCCGTCGGCGGAGCAGCCTTGCCGTGCGACGTGAGGGGGGAACCTCCCGCGCAACCTGCTGCCTCCGTCAATTCACTGTTCTCGGTTAGTGCCTCGTTTGCGCGTGCGCAGCGCCCGTACGCGCTCTCTGTGAAATATACTACGAACACTTGTGTACAAGAGTTATTGAAAACGAGTGAAAATTAACGCGTAAGTGACCAATAACATCGAGTAATGTGCTCGTAGGAGTAGACAAACAAGGTAAATGAAGCGAATATTATGATATATGATAGAATAAAAATAATATTTTGCAACAAGGGCATATACGAGTCAGTGTTGATACAGTTAAATATGCAGTTTTCAATAGTACTGATGACATTAGTAGTCAAGTTGATGAGAGTTGGATACTATACGTGAACGTATTTTGCAAACAGGTGTATTCGTTTTTATGAATGAATTGGATGGGAGTGCAGGTAACCGGTTCGTTGCTTGCATAATACAACTTGAAAGAGTTAAGTTAGTGTGTCATTGAAGGCTTCGAGTTCATTTCCCAAGTACAGAATGTGACAAAGATTACGAAGTAATGAGGTACCAATGACATCATGCGGTGTTGTTAGCACTCCACCCACTACACACGTGTCTCTAGGTTATAAGTAATGATTGTTTTATAGTTAAAGGCACCAATATCATGTATTAAAGAATATTGATTAAATTAAATATTCGCTTAAATAACAGAGCAATTGTGTAATTAGTAATCAAAAACAAGTAAATAAACAAATATATTAAATTACTCAGTTTTATTTGATTAGCTTTTGAATATTCTTTAGTTAAAACTATGTTAGAAGATGTATTTGAAAATATATAAATCAAATTTTAAAATGGTGTTTTAAATTAATATTTTCATAAATGAAATATATATAAACAATACAATCCTCAATGTTATTGTACAATTTGATGTACTATGAGAATATTACTTGATACTGCACTTGCTAATGCACCTGGCACGCCAAAGTTTCCCTTATTCATGATGATTTTGCTTTGTGGTCGACTGACTCAATGTGATTTCAGCTGACCGATCCTTCAGACTATAAAATTTATACAATAAAAAACATAAAATTTTGGATAACAATAAAAAGATTTATTTTGACCACAACCCAATTTATGCTTATTTAAAAATGCGTGAATAAAGTAGAATACAAGTACTTTAGTAGTTTGGAAACATATTTGGACTACTTTTAATTCTATAAGATGTTAGAAAAACATCAGAACTCTACTAAAAGGTTATAAATTAAATATTTGTCATCATTATCGATATAGATAACAGATAATTTTGTGTATGAAATGTGTGCAAAACCACTACACTGTATTAAATCAATTATAAATCAGTGTATTTGAGACAAGTTTTCGACTAATTACATCATGTCTAGACTTTTGGTATAAAAGTAGTTTTACGCCGGTGTTTTGCTTAAATACAATTAATTGCTAGTTATTTTCTTTCCTTCTAACTCTGTATCTTACTTTATACCTTATTAATATAATAAAATTGTAACTAGATCATTTCTGCACATGGGAGATATTTAAGAATAATGAATGTGAGTTGTCTTAATAAGACCAATTGTTTCTAATACAATATTTTTTTGTAATTTTATTTCTTTGTAAGTCTGTCTGTCTACTACTACTACTGTATCAAATTAGATACGGATTTCATAGTGGTGTTTCTGAAAGTGAAACTCAAAATCTGGTGTATGTTTCAGCTTATTACGTTATCTCAAGATGCTTGTCGTTGCTCGCCAAGTATATATTTTTTCGTCGTACTTTCTATTATAATTTCAATTAATACGAGTATTATTACAAAAATAATATTTTATATATTTAGAAAACATTGAAGTGATCAAAAAAGAAAAATCTACATACTAGAAGTTATTGTTACAGTAACGTAGGTATAAAATATTGTAAACATTAGAAATTCAAAAGAAGTCACAATAAGGGATAATTATATTCAGGGGAAAGAATAAAGAAAGTAATCACATACCTATACATATATAAAAGAAACAAATTTATAACAAAATGAACGTTTAGGGGTTATCAGGTGTTTGAACGTGCCAACCGCTGGCCATATTTAAGCTTTTTCTAAGCTTGTCTCGTGAAAGCTGTCCGATTTTTGTTAAGTTTTTGTCCCTGTACCGGAGTTCCTGCTTCCCACCTGTAGTCTTTTATAACATTTCTTTTTTATTTGAAACTGTAATTTAAAATAGAATGAAATTTAAATTTCTTCTTAATTATATTATGCATTAAAACCCAATATAAAACGAAAAAAGTATATTTAATATTTTGTGAGTTTTAAATCAACAGTAATTTTTCGGGACTGCAGAGGTATTCGTAGTTTGTGAACTTGTATAAATAAGAAATATGATCAAATTTAGAAATAATTCTATTAGTAATAGATATTACTTGGTTTACTAAATTAGCTTTACAATAGATTTTACATACTGAGTAGCCTATATAGATGTTATCATTTATGATTTAGTTTTTTATTTAGAAGGAGGTTTTGTACAAAAGTCGTTTGCTTGGGCACCTCTATTCTATTCGTGTTTCTATCGTAAAGCAGTTTTGTTTGCATGGCTATGTTTCAGTTTGAAGGGTGGGATATAGTAGTGAATTTACAGGGACAGAGGAATAACACTTGAGTGCTCAGTAATGGCAATACATGGGGGGTATCATGGGCGAAACAATTATGTCAATGGTACTGCTTATGTCTATAGGCGACGGTTACCACTTTCCATCAGGTGGGCCGTCAGCTTATTTGCCATTCTAAGTTGGAAAAAAAAATTTTGCAAGCAAACTGATGGCTCATTTGATGAAAAGTAGTAATGGTCATCTATCAACGTAAACAACATATTTATAATGTTCATAGTAACAAAATATATATTGTGACTCCCATAGTATCCCTCACGCATTATCACTCATGCCAGTTAAGGTCTTATATTTCTGTACTCTGTAATTTCACTGATATTCTCTTTAGTTAACCATTTGCTTATTCCCTACAAAAACACTTATTTTCAAAATAATTTATATGTATGTGTGTGTGTGTGTGTGTGTGTGTGTGTGTAATATATATAAATAATACGTTGTGCACACGGGCTTACAAAATCCGGAACAGGAAAATTAAAGTTTATTTGAATAAAAAATACCTCTATTTGCAAATATCTTTAAAAGTATATTGAATGATAAATAATCTTTGAAATATGTTTAGTCCATAATTATACATGATTTTAGATAGGCTACTGAAAATGTATATCACACATAAATTCATAAAAAATGAATCGCTTAATAATGTTTTTATTATCAAAGAAAAAATATGTTTAATATTATAACATACTTAATTCCTATACATGTATTAGCCGTATGGTTTCGGCATAGAATAGGCCACCTCTTCCTTTCCCGAGGCTGTCGTAGAAGGCTACTAAGGAAATTCAACGAATGTTCTTCAAGGATGCGTCAAGTCGAGGGATGAGCATCAGCGTCCCTCTTAAAACATCACCGACTAATCTGAATTAACTAATCTAGTATAACTGCGGTTGCCAACTCACCTATCAAGACTGGCAACATCTGGTAAAACTCCTTTTTTGAGGGAGGCCTATGTTCAGCAGTGGACAGATAACGGCTGATATGATGATAAATACCCATCTGCAGTATATATTAGGCATAGAAAGCCTTTATTCTTGCATCTCTTTCTTTATCCAATTTCATTACAACTGACTTGTAAGAAACATTGGCGTGTTGTTCCGGAATTGACATTCCGGAGACTCTTGATTTATCTCTCAGGCAGAACACGATCTATTTGATAATAACATATGATAGTTTACACCCCTACTGTTCCCTGTATTTCTGCACTTTCATATCATCTATCTGTTTCACCTTCTTTTCTTCTTCTCTTTTCTCAGACCTGAACTAAAATAGTAACCTGGGAAATTGATTACTCTTTCTTTCAAACCAACTCCCAATCGCATTACTTTATTAAGAATCCGTTCTGGTATGTTTGCTACATTATTTTGACAATATTCGTATTTGCATTTATTCTACTATAAAAAAATTTTTGCTTCCACATGGCAGCGCGAGAATAACAACCAATATGGACTTTTATTATTTATTTCAATAAAATTTTATAAAAAGGTAACTAAGTTTTGTTTAAATTGTCATAGAAACGCTCTCTACACGTAGTCAGCAACAAATCGGAACATTTAATAAATATATCGATTTTTGATTTATACATCAGCATTAGGCATTAGTGGACTTTATCAAGTGGTCAATATTTCGTTTGTTTATATTTTCATTAAGTTATATTGAGACAGACAATAACTTACATAGATGCAATATTAATAGACTCTTTTTGTTCTAGTAGGTCCAGCACGTAAAGTTTATTTCATACTCTCTCCTTATCTTCTGTTCTAATATCTATGCTAGTGATTATTATCACATTATTTTGTCCACAATCGTAAAGGTAATTTTCGTTACCTTTATATGACCTCGATACTACTCAAGGCTGAGTTAATTTTTGTGGTCAATACACGTAATGAATACGTAATCATTACCGATTTGCCACAATTCTTTACCAAAATTGTTTTTTTAAGATTTCGCCTAAAGAGAGTTATAGACAAAGAGTTAATAAATATATAAATTATTACATTTCAGCGAACCAAAAGTTATTGTTCAATTTTTCAAATTATAACACTATTTATTTTTCTTTTACAACTTGTGTTTTAAGCTCTTGTTTTCTGAATTGTATTAATATTAGTTTATAAATTAAAACTTATATATTTTGGACACAATCAAAATTTTTTTATTCTGATCTGTCGTCCAAAGGAAATGTCTAGATGGAAGAATGCATCCTGAATTGTCTCGTACTCGATTGAAACATGTTAAAGGGTTTGGGCTACCAATTCTTTATATTCGTACTATGGTTTTAACATATTCGTAACGCTTGGCTCACAAAATATTGATCTCTCTTTATAAATATTGTCAATATTTAAAATTTTAAGATAATTACGTACTAAGAAAATAAACAACAGATAGTCTTACCCCCAAATTTATAACTTTTTACTGTTTGCAAATTGTGCGTCCAGTTTATACAAAGAAATATAGGTATAATTTGAGATATTTTATATGTGTAATTTTAGTTTCAAACAGCCACTTTACAAGGAATTATAATTCGATTCGTCTTGTATACCCAGTCGAGTTAAATAAGCATACCATGTATTAGC